GCTTTCATTTCTTTTTTCTTTTGAAGTCAGCTTTATTGAGATCTATTTTATATCTAGCTTTTATTTCTGAAGCTGAAAGAGGAAAAGCTGTGCTTTTGTTGGCAGCATTTGTTATTTGTGGTACAGTTTTCTTTAAACACCTTTGCTGTTCTTTAAGTGCAGTTTTGACTTTCTTATGTAATTGAAACAGTGGCTGACATCTTACATTTTAAAACTTTATGGTTTAAATCAGAAACACTGTGAAGAAGTGACTGCTTGCCACTCAGTGAAGGCTAATAAGGGCAGGGCCCTGATTTTGGTGACTTTCTAATTGCTCGTTTTTTCCAGTATTATCACAGAGTCACCTGGATTTTTAAATTATTCTTATTTTCTGTTATGATAGTCATTGACATTTGTTATGCTCTTTTAGGCGCTCGCTGTTGTAAGTGCTTTTAATTTATGTTATGCTGGCTGGTCCTCCGCACAGCCTGACAAGGCCATGGTGGTGCTGTCTGCACCACACTGAAGGCCTTGCACAGGCAGGACGAAGGCCTCCCAGGTCCCACGGTCCCCTTGTGTGCCCAGGTTGGACTTACATCTGCAACTTCTTTTTCCATGCTGTCTTCCATGTGTGAAAGGTGTACATAGATGTATTTGGGAGCATTATCAATTGTAGCATGTATTTGTGAAAAGTGCGCATTCATGTCTCTGTGGTAAGTGGTTTTTGTTTGTTTTTGCTGTAATAGTAGGGCTGGCAATTAGATTGTTTAAAAGTACAGCCACTCGGTTTTATTTAAAAGGTAATTTATAATTTGTACTATGTGCTGCAATACAAAAGCTATGGGACTTGTAAAACGCAGTGCTTTTCCAAACCCCTCCTGTGGGGCGGTGGACCCTGCAGGCACACCAAGGCCTGCGGCTGTGCCCAGCAGGCTGACTCCCCCGCTGTCACTGAAGGATTTTGCCTACACTTAGTATTTATTTACCATTTTAGTTATTCCACTGGTCTTAGTTGTCAGTGAATTCATTATGGTCAAGCCAGTGTTGTTGAATTTTAGCTGAGAACATGAATTTTAAATTGATAAACATTTATATTCTTGGAATGGTTTGGCGTGGTGGTATGCATAATTCTGTACTAGGAATTCTCCTCAAAATGTCGGGTTCTCAAGTCACAAATACGGTGAAGTCACTCCCTTTCAATGGAGTTAAGCCTCTTTCCCAGCTCATTACTTTGTGCAGCCTAAATACTGGGCACAGTGGATTTATGTTCTTTCTTGACTATATTCAGAAGCAGAGCTGCTGGGTTTTCTCATTAATTTTCACTAGTCAGAAAGAGCAGGGTGCAGAGGGCTATTTTAGGATCACTTTAGGTGATCAAAGACAGTGTCCACTAAAACTTGGGTCTGCATATCTAGTTCTTGTCCTCTCTTATTGTAGCAGCTATTTCCAACACTCCTCCATTCAATTTAACATTATGTTTGTCAGAAGCAGTGTGTACAGTTTATCTCAGATCTGTCCTAGGAAGAGAAATCTAGTGGGAGCTTTAGCTTTTCTAGTAAGAAAGTTTCTGGGCTGAAGAGAGTCCCTTTGGTGTCACCTCCACCTCCACCCGGAGCCAGTATCCCTTGCAGTGCTCTTGCTCAGGGCCAGCCTCTGCTGCCCAGCCTGTTCATCCGGTTGCTGGCGGGGTTCCCTTGGAGCTGCATCAGCAAGGCCTTGCCACACAGAATGAGAGGTCAAATCTCTGCACCATGTTCTTTGTTCAGGGGAGAGGAAGAAAGCCCCCAGGTTGTGGCTGGAGTCATAAAATAATTTGGAAAATTGCTCTCGTTATGTTTCCCTCTGCAGTTTAGGATTCTGGGGAAGCATCGCTGTGGGTGGGGCATGTGTAGGACCAGGGAGACACACTAGAGAGAAGTCTTCACATTACTCTCAGCTTACTCCTCCTTTTCTATTTGCAAGGCCACGGGACCTGTTTGCAGCAAGCTGTGGTGGGAAAGAGTAGATCTGTGTTGCTAACACAAGCAGTAGATAATCTCTGACATGGTTCTTGGATGTACAGAAAAAATCCTTGGAGGCTATCTTGACCAAACCGCTTATTTTACCGTTGAACTTGAGAGAAGGAATTTGCTCTGAACCTTGGCTAGTTAGTTTCTGACCAAGGACTGGGCCTCTCTTACTCCCAGCCCCAGGCTCTGCTTTCACTTCTGTGAGGCTGCTGCCCTGCAGGTCTGACTCCCGTGGAGAACACTGACCCATGCCCCAGCAGGGTGTTAGCTCTGTTACTGGCCCATTTGTGTGTAGATTGGTCTCAGCATTCAAGGATCTGTGCAGCCTCTGCTGCTTCCTGCTGCCGAGGCCAAGTATGTATGTTTTAGTCAAGAGAAAAGCACTGTGATTTGACAAATGAAGTCAGGCTCCTTTTAACTGTTTTTCATAATTTGCAAAAGGAAATCTATGCTTGAGCAAGAAGCCTGATTCATTGATTTTTATTTTTTTTGCATCATCATAGTAGTTCTGTGTAAATGGTTGTAAGATTGCTCATTGCTGGATTCAGGATTCTGGGCTGCTTTACTGCTTTCAACTTCTTTGGCTGATAACAGAAATGACATTTTAAAAAATAAAGCCATTCTTCTTAGCTTATAGCTAAAGATTTTTAAAAATAGTATAATAAATAGAATTAAAAGAAGTTGTGGAATCAGATTTTGGAATTTTACTACTATGGAAGTTACCAAGCAGAGCCCGTTCATATTAGAGATGGGAGAAATGAGACTGGAGAAGTTTAATATGTGACTTAGCAGAGTTATAGTTATTTAGTCAATGTCAATACAAATCTTCTGGCTTACTTTAATTGTACCACTTATTTTGAGCTTCCTTTAAGATACACCTTGTTTTTGTGTGTTTCACAGATTATTTCTAATACATAACGTTCCCTCTACTTTATCGGCCTAAAAATGGAAAGTCAGGTAGCTTAAATACCTTGCCCAATAAATGAATGAGCTTAAAAGTGACTTGCACAGTGAACGAATGATTGAGCAGCAGTTTTGGAACAGTGTGATTCCCAAAGTTGTGTTTTAATGCTATGTCTCTTAATGGTTTTCTTTCCTTTAATGATTTGCATTATCTTAATTAACTTACTTAATTTGTTCTGGTGAAATCTTTTGCTTGTTTTTATAGTCAGGTGTTATAAGCTATGCTTCTTAAGGAAAGTTTGTCCAGTTGAATGCAGTAGTAATATTTGTAAAATCTGGAATCTTAAATTCTTGCCGAGAACACTTTGTTCCTCTGGAGTGCCTCCCTGTCATAAGAACGTCCATGAACACATTTGGATAGCAAATCACATGAACTCTTCTTACCTGTGCTCTAAATGGTAAAACAACTTAAGAACTGCCGAAGTCCTAAAATGGAAAAATAAAGGGTACTTGAAGGATGGGATAGTGATGAAAAGATATTTTAAGAAAAGTGTTGACATTTACTGGTACTGCTTATTCAGAACTCATCCACATATTATGTTGTGTTTTCTGTGCCCATTATTCAATGTGGGGGTTTTGGGGTTGGTTTTTTGGTTGTTTTGTTTTTTTGGCCATTCCCTTCTACCCCCTGGCATGAAATGGTAAGCTCTGTGATAATGCATCGACTCTCAGCCCCATGAACACAGGGAACTTTGTTTATTGCTGTGTATCAAACAGATAGTACAGTGTGGGGCTAGACAAGGAGGGAAAAAAGATTAGATGAAGGATTTTCATCCTGTTTGAGAGACAGGTCTTTCTTTTTCCATTTTCCTTTTGAAACCTCTATACCCTCACTTTCTACTGCTGTGTTATTTGATCTTCGGCTTCTCTTTTCCCCACTTTCTTTTCTCTTGTGGACAAGACCCCTGTATGACTTAAAATGTTTGAATGATATTTATTAAATGTTAATATTTATTGAGCATTTACAATTTCTAGTGCATAGGAACATGATCTGTATTTTTATTTTCTTTATTTTTTATTGTGATCTTTATTTTAAAAATAATGGTTTCTAGGAAAGAATTGAAAAAGTTGGTCTTGAATGGATGTATAAGTCCAGGAAAATTTTGACCTCCTTTCCTGCAATATTAAAAGTGTATTCACATCATTAGTTATCATGGAAATGCAGATTAATGAGGTACACCCTTCTTACTCACTGTAGTCACTGAAATAAAAAAAAGAGAACAGGTGTTGGCCGTGATGAAGACATCAGGCCCCTCGTGCATGGCTGCTGGGAATGTAAAGTGGTGCAGCCACTGCATAAAACAGTTTGGCAGTTCATCGAAGCGCGTAAATGGAGAGTGACCCTGTGACCCAACAATTGCACTTCTAGGCATATGCTCAAGAAAAATAAAAGCATATATCCACACAGAAACTTGTATGTGAAGGTTCATGGCAATACTATTTATAATAGTCCAAAAGTGGAAAAACTCCAATGTCCATCAAGTGAATGGCTAGACACAAGACGGTATATCCAGTGGAACATTACTTGGCAATTAAAAGAAATGATGAAGTATCAATACATCCTACACATGGATGAACCTTGAGAATATTATACCAGTTACAAAAGACCACTTTATATCATTTCATTTATATAAAATCTTCGGAAAAAGAGAAAAAGCGCATTAGTGGTTTCCCAGGGCTGTGGGGGTTTGGAGGGGATGGAGAGTGACTGCCAGTGAGCAGAGTGTTTCTTTTTTGGGTGGCGGTTGCACATCTAAATACCATTGAGCAGTACACTTAAAAGGGTGACTCGTATGGTGTGTAATTTAACATCTCAGTAATGTTATTTAAAAAGTGTATATAGAGATGCATTTATTTCTCTGAACGTAAGTCATCTCCAGAATGATACGCATTGGTTGCGTGTGGGAAGAAGCTGGGGGTTGGGGGTATTTTTACTAAATATCCTTTTCTGTTAAATTTTGTGCCTTATGACAGTATTGTCTATTTTACAAATGTTGAGTAATAAAGGTATAAATAACTCATCTCCTCTCTTGATTTTACTGTGATCAGGTACTTCAGGGGTTAGATTATCTACACAGTAAGTGCAAGATCATTCATACTGACATAAAGCCAGAAAACATCTTGATGTGTGTGGATGATGCATATGTGAGAAGAATGGCAGCCGAGGCCACTGAGTGGCAGAAAGCCGGAGCTCCCCCTCCTTCTGGGTCTGCAGGTGAGGAAGCCAAGCCAGCTCTCTTTCAGCCCATTGAGGACATTTGAGAGCCTGCAAAATTATATATTGAAGGCTGTTTAGGTGAATGGGTACATATCAGGAATTTTTGTAAGAGCCTGACTGATAGAAATAGCTAGACTTTTTACTTGAAAAGGAAGATATCTCAATTAAATTATAAGGAGGATCCAAAAAGACCAGAATTATCTTCTGGAGGGCAGGCCCTTATAATACAGGCTTCCCCACCAGGTGAGTGTTACACAAATCCATCTGCATCAGTGCACCAGCTGGTGGTGGGGTGAGAGGCTCCGTTCCGCCTCAGTGAGTATTTTGTGCAGACTTTCAACACGGTTACTCGTTTCACCATGCGTGGTTTACCAGTGCACCTGAGCACACCCAGCTGAGTGTTCCACAGCTTTTGACCAAAACAGCATTTCTAAACCACCCTGTCTGTCCCACTGCCCCAAATTCACTCAGTGTTGCCCCAAACATTTTTTTTTGTTACCCTGGATGAAAAAGTCCCTCAAAAGTAACTGTTTTGCTGATGTGGAAGAGATGAAACAAAAAATAGCAGAAACAGTATAAAAGGCATCAGAATCAGCAAGTTCAAAAACCTATTTTGAGCAGTGGAAAAAACGTCTTGGTAGGTATATTGCATCAAATGGGGAGTACTTTGAAGGTGGCTGGAATTTAAACATAAGAATAAATACACAATTTCTAATAAATAAATTTCGTTTTTTTTAGGGTCCCACCACATATACTTTAATATTTGAATTAGCTTTGTTCTCCCTTAAAAGGTCACTTAAATTCTTACCTGCTGCTTCATCTACATTTGAACATTTTTGTCTGTTGCCCACTTCTCTGCTGAAGAGTATGTAGTAGTAGGTTTGGTGTACCCAACTTGTAGTAAGGCATCAGAATTTTTTCTGGCTTCAAGTTTGTTAGAGTGCTTGCTAATCTCCAATTAGAATAGTGACGTCAGTCAGAGTCTACCTGTTGGGTTTGGACTCAGTTGCACAAGATCCCAGGGTGGGAAAAGACCAAGTGACATAAACTCCATATTGGCATATGGAGTTTTATCCCTGATTTTGACTTACTGTAGTGGTGGCAGTGAAGTGTAGACTGTGCTCGCACCCTCTCTTCATGGTGTGTGTGTGTGCTAGTGTGTTGTCAGGCCAGGGGCGTCGGCTAAAGGCCACAGCCCTGTGACCGACTGGGCTCTTGGGAGATGCAGCACCTCTAATAGATCTTATTTTATGCCATCAGGGTGTTTTTTCCAGATCATGGAACCATATAGTCTGTCAAGCTTTTGAGTCTGGCATGGTCTGGTCATTTGATTTCTGGAATATTTGCTGCAGAATTTGATTTACCTGAGTTGTACAAACTTGCTAAACAGTTTTCAAACATAGATGTACATCTAATCTAAATTGTTCATTTCATTATTTATAAAACAAATTTGGTTCAAAGAGTTCACATTTGTGAACTCTATTTCATTTTCTTAAGTGATCAGTCAGGGCTTTGGGATAACTGTTTTTGAAATGAATGGTTATTTAAGTTTAGAAAAATGGTCTATATTGAACAATTACTGCTATGCATTTAAAGAACCAATCATTTCTTTGAGTTGGATTAACATACTTCAAGTGTCTTTGAATCAGAAGCTCTAGTATTTAACAGTTATAGAAGTTGTATAGCCATTAAAAGACTGTAAGTATTTCATCTTACAATTCAAATTACCTACCTAAATATATGTAATAATTTTTCTCTAAACAGTCATTTTGTTTTACTTTGTTTTAGTGAGTACCGCTCCACAGCAGAAACCTGTAAGTACTTAACACTTAAAGCACCTATTTATTATTGAACTTTTCAAATTGTAACATAATTTGTTTCTTTCTGTAACAACTTTTCATTGAAGAGTTGTTTGGGAGAATTGGCTATACTATTTTTTTGTCCCTTTTCAATCACAGATATCTTAGTGTATTAATATAAAAGACAAGTACGTTTGCAAATGATGTGTGTCCTTGAATGTATTAAGACATACTGTTTTGGTAAGTTGAACTGATCTTTAGTGTTACAAATAGAGTTGTTCCAAGTTGGATTTACCTTTTCCTTATATACTTTTCTGGAGTGCTTTTGGCCAAGCCTGGTGAGATGTGTGATAATAGAGGCAGAGTTTGAAGTGTGATTATTCAGGAAACACTTCACTTTATTTCTCATTGGCTTCCAAATGACCGGCGTTTCTGAAGCTGTTCTGATCTTTTTCCATCCAGTAGTTCTATGAAAGAGCATTGTCTGTGTTTCAGTCCTGTGAAAGCAGTAAGTCCAGTCAAATGAAGCAGGCTGTTTGGAATTAAATCCTGTAGCAACGGACCCAAACCTGGCTTGATTCCAAGAGAGGATAGAATATCTTGAGTTGATGGGTCACCTACAAATTTTTAAAAGAGCTTTATGAACCAAAACTATTTGAAAGGAAATGTCCAAAAATTCCAAGTGCTGCCTGCAGCCTTGGTTTGGAATGAAAGCCCCAGTACAAGAGGGCGCTGTAAAACCGATGCCCCCGGCCCGTTCCCCACAGTTCTCCCTGGCCTGCAGCAGCTCTGTTTGATCATTGAGTCTGTGAGAACTGGAGGCTCGCTCCTCCCAAGTCAGAGGCTGTGACGAGAAGCAGACTGAAGTGGTGGCTTTTATCCCCCTTTCCTTCATATGCTCATTTCTTCCATTCATGCAGTCTTGGCAGTTTGATAACAGCTCAGTGTGTGAGACCCCAACACAAACAGTGCTATTGACCAGCCATGAAAACAATGCACATGTCGGCAGGCGTTTCTCTTTGACAGACAATTGGCTAAGACAGTAAGGGGAGGGGATGTCGTTACTTTGAATACAGGCAGCAGTATGTAAAACTCCAAGAGGTGCTTCTTGTTTAAAGGGTAGAGTATATGCAGCGACTCTCAGAGTTTGAATGAAAAAGACTTCATTGGATTTAAGCTGTATATCCCTGTGAGGGCAGGACCTGGTAGCAGTCCCAGTCCCAATTATTTGATGTTACGCTGGTTTCTTTTTTCTGGTTTGACTGTAGCCCTAGCTACCAGGTGGATCTCATATCCCAGCATGTGATTTTATTCAAGACCTGGAAAAACAGGCTGTATCAGTATTTGCCATTCTGCCTGCACTTAATAGTATTGTGTAGTGCTTTAAAAATAAGCAATCTGACCTGTGGTATTTTCTTAACATGTTGTAGATAGGAAAAATTTCTAAAAACAAAAAGAAAAAGCTGAAAAAGAAACAGAAAAGGCAGGCCGAGTTACTGGAAAAGCGCCTGCAGGAAATAGAAGAACTGGAGCGCGAAGCTGAAAGGAAAATAATAGAAGAAAATGTCACATCAGCTGTACCTACCAATGAGCAAGATGATGAATACGGCCCAGAGGTGAAACTAAAAACCACAGGATTAGAGGAGGCTGCTGAGGGAGAGACTGCACGGGACAGCGGTCAGTGACATGCTAAGGAGGGGCAGAGGGCCCAGGGGTTCGTTAATAGGGTGCTCATCCCCACGGCCACCGCCAGGTCATCACAAAGGCTGACTTGCGGCTGTTGCTTGGGATGTGAGGATGGTTCTCTTTAACTCCTTATTCGGGAGTATGGGGAACAGTCCGGTAGTTCATTTGTCAAATGTGTGCCAGAAATATGTTAATATTTCGGAAGTTTTTTTAAAAATGGAAAGTATCTGAGAAACTCCATGTCCCTATCATGCTAATGATTGACTTTTATTCTGTAATTAAACTTTCACCTCATAGTAATAATGTACCCAGGAAGCCTTTTGTGAAGATTGTAGAGGAGATGGTAGAAATGGAAGTGGAGCTACGATAGTCATTTCCCTCCCAAACTGACTTTTTCTAATAAGAGTGGGCCAGTTGCTTAATAAATGAAAAATGAGATTTTGAAAACCTGAGGACATTATCCTGAGAGCCAAGCTGTGTTTGCTACGTAGTACATATTTTAAGCACATTCAGAAATACCTCTTGTTGGAGGAGATAAGTACCTAGGGCCATTGTGTTAAGGAGAGTAACAAATTCTGATTCTTAACTCATCAACTTTTTAAGGTGAAGCTGAGGATCAGGAAGAGAAAGAAGATGCTGAGAAAGAAAACATTGAGAAAGATGAAGACGATGTTGAACAGGAACTTGAGAACATAGATCCTACATGGATTGAATCCCCCAAAACCAATGGCCATATTGAGAATGGTCCATTCCTACTGGAACAGCAGCTGGATGACGAAGATGATGATGAAGAAGATTGCCCAAACGCCGAGGAATACAACCTTGATGAGCCAAATGCAGAAAGCGATTACACGTATAGCAGCTCCTATGAACAATTCAATGGGGAATTGCCAAATGGACGACATAAAATACCAGAGTCACAGTTTCCAGAGTTTTCCACATCAGTGTTCTCTGGGCCGTTAGAACCTGTGGCTTGTGGCTCTGCACCTTCCGAAGGATCCCCACTTACTGAGCATGAGGAGAGCAGTCCGTCCCATGACCGAAGCAGGACGGTTTCAGCCTCCAGTACTGGGGATTTGCCGAAGAGTAAGTGTCCCTCCCCATCAGGTATCTGCTTTCAGTGGCCTGAGTGCACACACCTGACAAATGCCGTGAAGGGAATTGGCTAGAGGCAGTAAAGCCTTGTGTGTGTGCACTACCCATTTTCATTTTTGTACTTTTGTACTCTTGAATATGCAAAATAGATTCTGCGCCACTTTCTCTTGCCCTCGGCGAATCAGATCCCATTTCTGAGCATCTCTCATTTTTTCTGTATTTAGTTAGTAACATCATACATTTGCAAAATCTTCCAAGTCAAAGAACTTAACACCTGTAGCTTTCTAGAATGTGTAGTTTAATTTATAATTTGTACTATCATCTGGTAGTGTAATATTAGTTTTTGGTTTGGGGTTTGTTTCATTTCTTTTTTTTTTTTTTAATAAATTTATTTATTTTTTTTGAATTAATTATGCTGTTACAGTTGTTCTATTCCCCCCTTCATTCCCCTCCACCCTGCCCCCCCAACCCCACCATTACCCCCCTTTAGTTTATGTCCATGTGTCTCAAGTCCTTTAGGTTCTATATTTCCCATACTATTCTTGCCCTCCCTTCTATTTTCTATCTACTGTCTATGCTACTTGTTTTCTGTACCTTCTCCCCCCGTCTCCTCCTCCCACTCCCCTGTTGCTAACCCTCCTTGAGATCTTCATTTCTATGTTTCCACTCCTGATCTAGCTGTCCTTTTAGTTTGCTTTCGTTTTAGGTGTGGTTGTTAATAACTGTGAGTTTGTTGTCCTTGCACTGTTCATGTTTCTTTAACTTCTTTTTCTTAGATAAGTCCCTTTAACATTTCATATAATAAGGGCTTGGTGATGATGAACTCCTTGAATTTGATCTTATCTGAGAAGCACCTTATCTGTCCTTCCGTTCTAAATGAAAGTTTTGCTGGGTAGAGCAATCTTGGTTGTAGGTCTTTAGATTTCATGACTTGGAATATTTCTTTCCAGCCCCTTCTTGCCTGTAAGGTCTCTTTTGAGAAATCTGCTGACAGCCTGATGGGGACTCCTTTGTAGGTGATTGTCCCCTTACCTCTTGCTGCTTCCAGGATTCTTTCCTTCATTTTAATTTTGGCTAATGTAATTATGATATGCCTTGGTGTGTTTCTTCTTGAGTCCAACTTTTTTTGGTACTCTCTGAGCTTCTTGGATTTCTTGGAAGTCTATTTCCTTTGCCAGATTGGGGAAATTTTCTTTTATTATTTGTTCAAATAGTTTTTCCACTGGTGGTTGTGTCTTTCCCCCCTTCTGGTACCCCTATAATTCGGATATTGGAGCGTTTATAGATGTCCTGGAGGTTCCTAAGCTTCTCCTCATTTTTCTGAATTCTTATTTCTTCATTCCTTTCTGATTGATCATTTTTTTCTTCCTTCTGGTTCACTCCATTGATTTGAGTCCCAGTTTTTTTTTCATCTCTATGGTTTTCCTGTGGAATTCCATTCATTTCCCTTAATTTAGCCTTCATATGTTTCTCTAATTTGTGGCTATAGTCCACCAGATCTGTGAGGAAGCTGATGACCAGTGTTTTAAACTGTGCGTCTGAGAGATTTTCTATTTCTTCGTCACTTAGATTTATCTGTGGGGCTTTGAGGTCTTCCTGCGACATTTTTGGTCTGTTCTGGCCCTTTAAGTGGGAGGGGCGGCGCCTTGGATTCCCAGGTCGCTGGGTTGTGACGCTGTATGTGGGGGCGTGGTCAGAGCGGGGAAATGGCGCTGCCGCCGCCGCAGCCGCCGGTCCAAGCACTCACTCCCTCACCCGCGTGCAACCAGGCAACCTCAGTCAACTCGCTGCCACCGCCTCCCCACTGACTCCTCCGTAGTCGCTCACCCGGTGGGCCGCTCGGTCGCTCACTAGGTCCAATCCTGGGTTTGGAACCCGTGCGACTGGATTCGCGCGTCTGGATTCCGCGCCGGGGTCGACTCCTTTGTAACTCCTCACCCGATGCCGGTTTCGCCCCTTACCGGTCGGGCCGAAGAATTTGTTGTTAGCGGACTTCCGAAAAGTTCAGTTTTCCGTGTTCTGGTTGTGTTTTCTGATGCTAATATTTAGTTGTCCCTAAACTTGGTTGTGTGAGGAGGCAGGCACATCCACCTTAAACCTCCATCTTGGCGGAAGTGGTTTGTTTCATTTCTATTCAAGGAAATATATGCCTGCTCTTTGTCTATATGGAGGAAGAGATGTCTTTATTTGGATACTTGTTCCTGATTATAGGACTCAGCTGTTGAAATTTTAAAGGAAGTGGTAGAGCTTTACATGCGATAATGACTTACATAAAGCCCTTACTTGGGAGCAAATGCCACGCAACATATCTCTGCTAGTGCACTGGGTATCGGGCTTGTTTTGGCCCACACGGGAAAGCTCAGAGACCTCCTCTGCTAACAAGAGTTTTCATAACCCATGGGGAGTCAATGAGCCAGCCCTGCCACTTGCCTAACCAGTTTTCCAGCCCCTTTCTGTGCAGCTGGTGGGAGACCTGCAAAGCTGCCTCTGCTACTCATTGGCTATAGTGAATCTTCCTGAAGATGTGGGTTTGTTTTTTTGTTTTTTCCTCAAGTAAACATATTCTCATCCTGTTTACCTTTACTGTGAGCAGAACTTTTTAAAGGTACTTACAAGATGCTTTCATGGGACATAGGTTCATCTAAGGAAGAACTCACCTCTGTGTGTGTCTTCTTTATTCTCACAGTACCATCACACCGCTTCTGACACTTGGTCACCAGGGATAGCATAGCCTCTTTCTGGTTTACTTTCAAGACATAGTAAAGAGCATCTGTGTGCACAGGGCATGTTTGCTCATGCTTCTGTACCTTTGCTCATGCTCTTCCTCCAGCTTGAAATGTGTCCTCCTGTTCATCCATTGCCCATCCTTTTGGCAAACTTGCATCTTTTTGCCAGGTAGCAGCTCAAACACAAGTCTTCCCTGTGTTCCCCAGCAACCTGTTCCCTTTCCCCCCTTTTCCTGCTGGTCATACCTTTCTTAACAGTATGGCCATTCTTTTCCATTACCTTTCTCTTTACTAGAGTGTAAACTCTTTGAAAGTGCTGTGTATTTTTCTCTTTATATCCTCAGCATCTGACTTGATGCTCAGATAAATATTTGTTGAGTAATGAACAAACCAGTAATAGCTGGTTATATTCTTCTACTCTTCCCTTTCTCCCACCCCTTTCTATTTACAATCTAAGTTTTACTCTCTCCAACACATTCCATCCCCAGCACCCTGTCTGTTGCATGAATCAGGAAGAACTAGGAGGTCTGTTTATTTTCAGTGATCCCAGGCTTTCAACAAGCAGATGTTTTCTGTATTGTTAAGTTCTAGGGACACAGCAGGGACAGGACCTCCTGATGCACTCATTGGGAGGCACTCAGTGCTGGTTTCAGCCTGGTGGTTTCATAACCATGGGCGTCCTCCAGCATGGAAGGGGTGTGGCCTGAGGGCTGGTAGATGGCCCCTTGGTATTATAGGAATATGAGGCAAGAGAAACAAGCTTTATTGAGAATCTGTGTAGATCCTTGTCATTATAGCAGAGTGTCTACATTAGGGAATAGTTGAAGAAAATACCAGGCCAGAAGAAGATTGAAGAAGAACTTACATACCGGGCTAGAAAAATGTGCACTTTTCCCTAGAGTAATTTGGTAGCCATTGAAAGCTGAGAAGAAGAAGCAAGATTCCTCGGATTATTAGCTGCTAGAGCCATAGACCAGATCCTAGCTCATCACATCTAAAAGACAAAGACCCTGGAGCTCAGTGGTCTTATTGGCCTTACCTGCAAGTATGTTGGTATATTTTGAGTCCTTTCACTCTCACCTGATAGTGACCCATGTGACCATTGGCCCTTGCCTAGGCTGCTGTGACACAGGCTCCCTGCTCATACCACATTGACTCCTGCTTCCCAGGCCGTTCTCTGTAGAGCAGCCCAGAGAGAGAGCTTTTTAAAGCACATTCTGTCATTCCCTCCCACCCCCATCTCCAGTGTATTCCCACGTAGAATAGCATCCAGAGGCGAGCTCCCTAAAGCTTATGAGCTCTCCAGCCTGTTCCTGGGCAGCTGTATCTCCTCTCCCCCAACATCCCCTTTGTCTTTTTCCTGTGCTCCTTCTGCACCTCCCACACCGACTTCTTTCTCAAGCTTCTCCAGAGTTACCAGTGCGCTTGTTTGTGCCTTTGTGCACTTTGTACTTGCTCTCTCCTCTGCCCGGAGCTGCTCCCCTCCACGCTTCCCTGTATTCAGGCCTCTCCTCAAGGAACACCTTCTCAGAAAAGACCTTCCCTGAACACCTTCATCATCATTCATCTTCTTTCTTTGCTTTATTTTCCTTCAGCATATAGAGCCACCTAACATGGTGTATGAGTCATTGTAATTACTTAATTGCCCAAATTCCCAGCCAGTTCATGAGTTTCCTAATTTTGGGTGTGGTACCGGAACCTCCTATGTCTTGTTTACACTGTTCCCAGTGCCAGGACAGCGCCTGGAACAAAGAAGGGACTCAGTGAATACTTGGTGAACAAATGGGTCAGGTTTGGGCATTAAATCTAGTTTTGCTACTTGGGCCTGTGCTGAACGTTCATGTTGGGAGGCTACTCCTCCCTCCCACGTAAGGACATTTAAACTAGAGCATCAGTGTGGGCCCAGGGTGGTGTCTTGCAGATCAGTGAGGGAGGCTGTTTCACCGCTCTGGGTGGTGGCTTCACATGGGTTGAGCACAACATCACCTAGAGACTGGTCTATCGGAAATGACTTAAAGTCCTCAGCCCTTCCTGAAATGAGGTCTCCCCACCACTCTCTTCCCACTCTGCACTCCCTTCTTGGTGCAGAGGTAATGTTGGTCGGATTGCGCAGCAAGCACGAGCGTCCCTGTGTTTAAATGGGCTCTTTGGACCATTGCGGTCAGGTACCCTAGCAAAGGTAATTATCACACTGAGAAAAGAAAGAGATCTGAACAAATTCTCTTCCACCTTCTCTGTGTTCTTAGACAATTACATTTTTAAGGTAATTTACATAGTGTTGTTTATGAGTTGGGTCACTATTTACAAACCTGAACCAGGAGGGTAACAGCACATCATGAAGGGGAGAGTTGGTCCTTCACTGACCAGTGAGAAGCTTCAGCCTTGGAGGCAGGTGGTCTGGCTGGTTGCAGAGCCCTGGTAGCAGGCCAGCCAAGCCTTGACTCTCCTGTGTAGTGGGAAGAGGGGGAGAGTGCACGCACATGTGTGCGTGTGCGTGTGCGTGTGCGTGTGCGTGTGTGTGTGTGTGTGTGTGTGTGTTGGGGTGAGGGAGGGGTGGTCCCTTCCTCTTCCTGCCTTTTACTGAGTCTCAAACAGTTGAAGTCATTTGCTAGAGTCTTAAAACTTGTCAGTGTTGAAACTTAGATTTGAATCCAGTTCTGTAATCCTCAAATTTTACTTTCCTCCTGACTGATTCTCCTTGATCACATGGCATGAAGATTTATTTAGCCATTTTCCCTGCTGCCCATCTATCCATTGGGTCAGCATTTTTATGTTCCTCCTGGAACTCTCCTCTCAACCCGTTCTCCACGTAGTGTATACATTTTGCATCCTTGTGTGGCTGGCTCTCTGGACTTTCCTTTTCATTTCTGAGTTTTCTGTGTTTCTTCTTCTCAGCTCGTATCTGGTCTTTGATGGTGGATCAGTCTTTTTATAAAGAGGGAAGTGGACATAGGGCAGAGAGTAAGAAGGTAATGTGTGCCTGGCCAGCCTGGGTTCATGCACAGCTTGGGGGGGGCGTCTTGGGGGTTCAGATGTTACCGAGAGTTCTTTCTGCATCCTCTGGCCTCTCAGGGGACCTATGTCAGTTCTCTGGGTCCTGGGTGTCTTGGCTACACACTGCCCTGCTAATGGTGAACACAGCCTGGCCTTCTTGCTTGGTGGGGTATGAGGAATCAGCCTCCTTCAGTGCTATGACTTTACAGCGCAGATGTAGCCAAAAGGAAGTTTGGTTCATTTTAGCAGTGCCCAGCTTTGAGTGAACAAAAGGGTGTTTAATGTTCTGCATTGAGCGGACTTTTCTGTGTAGTCTTTAACTACCACTTAAGAATTCCAAAAGCAAAGCCATGGGTATATCTCATCCTTTCCCGAAATCTGAGCTTGTAGGTCAGTTTGAGGTTTGATGAAGGTGCTAACTGAACTTCAGGATTTCTGTCTGGGCCTCACTGAGTTATTTTTCTTGTCTCTTGGCACCTGGTTAACTGCTTGGTGCAGGCCTGATCTGAACTTGTCCGGGAAGCTATTCGTCCCAGGAGCCCTGAGCAGCCTGGCCCTTGGCCTGCTGCTGAGACCCTCTCAGGGCCACCCCGGGGCTGGGAGGGGCCCGCTTATTTGACAGGACTGTTGGGAAGGAGCTCCGAAGTTTGCCCTTAGAAACCAAGCCGTCTCATAAAACCTCTCTTCTGAAATATTCCTCGTCCAGAGCTAAACCAGGATTGATTAGTTTAATCTGTGTTTGTAAATTGTCCACCATCTAACCCTTGAGGCCAGCCCAAGCAGAGAGAGGGACAGGTGCTGGATGAATGGTGTATCTCTGGGGAAGGGGTGGCCACTCCTGGCCGCGCACTCTCGTCTGTTACATTCTGTGTACTGACACACAGACAAGCTGATGTGGTCCATCAGGGAGTGGACCTAGCTCCCTAGCTCACATGGTGAGCAGCTAGGAACATACAGAAGCGAGTGGGGCAGGGCTGGCCCAAGGGGTGAAGGAAGTAGGGACAAAGGAAAAAGGGCAAGGCAGTGTCCGGGAGGTCTCTGCGCAGCCCGTTTGTTCCTCCTGTGCAGTGTTCTCCGGAGGTGGAGACCGCAGACTTGTGTTCTGTTTAGTTCAACTTACAGCATTCCAGGCCTAAATAATCTCGCCCTCACTTTTCCAGAAAAAGAGGCTCTGTGCCCAGCAAACATTGTGTGCACACATGCAGACCACTCACTCCACGCACTAACTGTCCTGCTGTTTGCTCACGCCAGCCAAAACCCGGGCCGCCGACCTGCTGGTGAATCCCCTGGACCCACGGAATGCCGATAAAATTAGAGTGAAAATTGCTGACCTGGGAAATGCTTGTTGGGTGGTAAGTAGAATTTTCTTTCTACAACATTTTGGTTGTGATCATGTATTAGAAGATCCTTTGTTTCCTTTTTAATGTGTTTCTGCGCAGTAATGCAGTCCATTCCGTTTCAGCATAAACACTTCACTGAAGATATCCAGACCCGGCAGTATAGATCCATAGAGGTTTTAATAGGAGCAGGTTACAGTACACCTGCTGACATTTGGAGCACAGCGTGTATGGTAAGAATGGCCGTGGCCACTTTCTTCCCTCTAAAGGCTCGTCACTAGAGTGCTCGTGAAGGGGCGGCCTCACTGGTGCATGTTGTCTGAAGCTTTTCACTGGGAAGGGTGTCTGCCATGGAGGGGGCGAGGGGAAGGTTGCTGCCCTGGGTCTCTCAGGAATTGGAAGGACTCTTCAGGCATGTCCTAGGGTTGGTTTGCGTTGGTTTGGTCATGTCAGAAATGATCGCTTCCCGAGGTCCTATGCAGGCCACCCATGTCTTTAAGAACCAGACCCGCTGCTGTGGTGGTGAAATGACTTCAAGTCATGCCTTCTGGTTACTGAAAGCTTGCAGGTTGCACACAGCTTCATCCTTCGCTGATGCTGTGGAGGAAGATGAGACAGCTGCTATTGTCTGAGGCTGAAAGGCTGCATGTAGTCCAGCCTTTGGTAGCCTCTGACAGACCTTATGTCCTTACTCGAGAGGAAAGGATTACCCATCTACCAGTGTTTCATCTCTCTTCTTTTATAAAGTAAAATCTAGAGGATATTCTGGCTTACTGCTGTGGGCTGTCCGTTCACTTTGGAACACCAGTCGCTGCATATGCTTCTCTGACGGGGTCTGTCCTCAGAGTGCACAGTGGTCTTTCCTCAGGGCCTCAGGACGCCTCCTGCCCCGGTGTGTCATCCACTGCACTGCTGACTTTGTGCCTCACACGTGTTTAGTTGTGTCTAAACTCTCTCCAGGCTCCACCACTGAACCTTTGTCTCACTTCTTTTGTGTGAGTTGATGAACATGAGTGGCCCTTCCTCCGCAAGCCCATTTCAGCTTCTCTTTCCCGGCCATTTCAGCACTTTCTTCTTCATTGGCTGTACTTCCTAGTCCTGTGTTGGAAAGGAGGGTGTGTGTGTTGATAAGGGTATTGTTTCGTGCTTCTCTTATTTCATATTTTTCCCAAATTCTCTTTTGATGTTAAAATACAAGAGCATGTGTGTAAAGCTTGGCATTTGTTTCATTTTAAAAATGCTGAATACTTAAACATACTGTTATTCAAAGGCCAGTGTAACGACTGATTTTGTTGGATTGTTAGTCCTGTGATGCTAAAGTATAAAACCATTATTAATTAATAGTACTAAAATAATATGAAAAAAGTAGTTATTTTGTGTCTCCCAAGTTAGCATCACCTGAGGCAACAGATATGGCCAAATAGGACTGAAATACTGTGCCTTTCTATTCCCACATTGCTCTGACAGATAATTTTAAAAACTAAGTTTTTCAGTAAGTATCAAAAACTAAGTCCTTGCTGTGACAGGGTATGGGAAAGAATGTTTAAAAGAATTGATGGAAATGGGGTGGTTTCTTTGAATGTAGAGACTACTGTGGAGAGAAATTAGAGTCACTCTGCATGACTCCGGAGGGTGGAGGGCTGCCAGGCAGTCAGTGAGGAGAGGGAACACTTTGAACACTTTGAGCTGCGGGGGAGAAATGTTCCACTTCGGAGCTCGAGGCTTACTTGTCCCCAGCAGCATGGAAGGGGCCATATCAGGGCCGCCCTGAATTAGACTCTGAGCATAGTTTCAGGTCTGCTGTGCTGTGCCTCTAATTTGGGGTGTTAAATTTTGGTGATATAACCAGAAAAATAGGCCAAGATCTCAGATGTAGTAGGACAGTGGACTGTCAGCACAGTGTTGCGCCACAGTCTGTCCTGCCTTCCACTAGATGAGCACCTGCGCCCCCAACCCCACAGTTTCTGGTCCTGCCGACTCCTGCTGCTGCTGTGAATGCAGCGTGAATATCAGTGACTCCCGAGGAAATGCGTTCACTGTCTCCTTTCACCAGCTCTCCGCCCCACCCCCACCACCCCGGGAAATTAAATATAAGCTCCCTCAGTGCTTCTGGGGCTTCTTATGAGAGTTTTTAAAAATTTGTAAAATTTTTAAGTTTTTGTCAAAAGGGTGATTTTTCTGGAAGGCGCAAGTCTTCATTCTCCGCTTCTATCCCTTATCCCTGAAGATCATGGCTGAGAGTCCCTTTGTTCCAACCGGAAAACCTGGTAAAGATGAGGCAGTGTTTTCCTGCTCCCACCTTTTTATCCAGGTTTAAAAATACAACAGTGTATTATATAACTTCATGATTCCACACAGGAATGCAGCCTGGCACCCTTGGCGAGCTACCCCTGAGCCAGGTGGCACGCACAGAGCCCGCAGCGGCAGTGCCCTGCTGCCCCCCCACCCCCAAGTGCCTCCACTGCTGCAGAGCTGAGCTCCTGCCCTTGGGTTAGGCAACAGCATGAGGCAGAGTCTCTGGGACACAGCAGGGGTTGAATCTTCTTTCTTTTCTTAAGCTGCAGCCCCCCCGCCTCCCGAAGTAGTGTATGTGATGTAATAATTCTGTATGGGTGGTGGTGGTAGCTCCTCTGCATCTGTGTGTCAGAGGCCCTGAGTAAGTGTCTTTTTATGGACTCCATGGTGCGCCCGAGTGAGTGCCATAGAAACAAGAAAAGCCCGCCTGACAGATGTCACCAAGCTTTTTTAGCACTGGTCACATTACTAACAGGTGATCTTATTTATTCAGAATGGGGCACTTCAGCATGAGAGGGCTTTTCAAGAAAGGGATCTCCCCAGAATCTGAGAGCAGACGTTGCTCTAAGGGAAGGCCCTCTGAGGGCATCAGGCCAAGTACAGAGGGAAGAATCCCCAGTTCTTTCTCAGTTACCAGAAATAAATATTAATTACCAAGGTTGCAGTGGGAGTACCTGACTGAGTGGAGGCGGCCCTCACGCCTTCCGAGCTGCCAGCACCAAAGGAGGGCTCAGAGAGCAGAGGTCGTGTGCGTTGGCCTTGCTGCGTGTGTCCTGTTTGTCAGGGAACTCTCACTCTGCAGAGAACCAGACTGGGTAACATAATGGCAGCCTTCGTCCTATTCTCTTCCTTTCTCTTTTCAACCATTTCATCGATAGGCTCCTTTGACTTAAGGATTTCCTTGGAAATATGTGGGTGCTAATGAAAAAATGCTCATCTTTCAGAGAATGCTCAGCTGACATATCTTAGTGTTAGGCTGTATGAAATCTATACAGCTGGACTGAAATATTTTTGAAAAGCACCCTGGAAGGGTTATAGAGCAGCCGGCCTTTTCCTTGGAGCATCTGCCATGCGGCTCCTTGGGCTTTTCCCCATTAAGATTTCACCTTTACCTTTTATGGTATGAAATCAATTGTGTCCTACATGAGGAAGATTTCTTCCGGCCATTCAGTTTGTAATCTAGTTGCTCCCCTTGGACTGGTAGCTGAATGTGAGGTTTTTTACCCTGACCTGGCATTAGCCCGTTGTCTTTATTGCTTAGTGGGTGGAGAGGGGAGGCCCCAGGTGAGGATGTTCTCAGGCACTGCAGCACCAGGGCAACACCTCGCCCTGTGTTGAGACTTGACATGTCCAGGGCCTTCTCAGACTCAGGTCTGGCTCGGGCAGAGTTCCCGAGTTCATGTGCTGGTGGTCCTGGGCTCAGAACACCAGCCTGGGGTTTGTGTAGGGTGCTGGGAGGTGGCCCTGGTGCAGGCAGACGAGCCTTCCCGAGGGTGCCTTCCCCACAGTGTGGTCAGAGACAGAAGGAGCGCAGGTCAGTGCAGTGACAGCTCACCAGGCCAGGAGTCGGGAGGGCAGTGCCTGGTCGGGTGGGGAGCTCCACAGTCCGAGATCCACCGGCATCAGTGGATGGTGGGTCCCCGAGCGCCTTTTAGAACTGCAAGAGCTGACATAGACTAGAAGTTAGTATGCTAAAAACCAAAGATGGAATTTAGATTATCCTATTTAGTTTTGTTTTTAAAACCTACCTTATCAGAGCAGTAGCAGTTGCCATCTATAAACTCATGGTCCTGGGGGTGGGGGTGGTGTGTGTGTGTGTGTGTGTGTGTGTGTGTGTGTGTGTGTGTGAAAGAGAACACCTGGTGGATATGGGAACAAATGGCCTCCCCCATGCTGGTGTGCGGGGAGCAGATGGTGGTCACCCAGGGAGCGAGCTTTCCTTGCCCTCCTTGCCCTCCTCAGGAGGGGTTGCACAGTGATCTGGTTCCTCCAGGCCCCAGGGGACAGAGCAAGAGGGGCTTCTTAGGCTCTAGGTGTTCCTTTGGTTGAGTCAGAAATGAATTAAAGGATGAGGAGATGCTGGAAATAGCCCCCTGAGTTTACTAAGACCTGAGGTCTTTGCTTCAAGAAAGCAGCAGCACCCGTTGTCCAGGGGCCAGGCTAGCCCTCTGGGTGAAGGCCGGCTTGGAAGTCAGACAGACCTGGGCCCGAACTGAGTCCTCACGCTGCCATTAGGGGCCAAGGGCAGAGTTCCTGCCAGGCCTCCTCACAGCTGCTTGCGGTTATGCAGATGTGTCCAGTTAGCCTCTTGCAAAATGAAGAGAGCGCCTAGTCCCTTTCATCTTCAGTAGAGGAGATTTAAGACTGTTTCTGAATCTTTGAATTTTCTGGAAGAACAAATTTGGTGTTGGGTCCATTTAGGTGGTTCTTTGGTTTGATTCAGATCCTTATAAAATATAGGTCTCTTACACAAGGAGAAAAAAACTTGGTGACTCGGGAGCCAGTCTCTGAAGTGCTTAGCATACCCTCTGTTGTGTCCTAGGCGTTTGAGCTGGCAACGGGAGATTATTTGTTTGAGCCGCATTCTGGAGAGGACTATTCCAGAGACGAAGGTAAGTAGTGTGCCTGCCGAATACCTTTTTCTGGGTCTCTTGAGGGTCCTGAAGTTCTGGAGAGTATTGTATGTTTGTACTGAAACAGAGCTACATATTGGTTTCCAAATACCAAATTCTGATGCTTGCTTTTTCTTTTCTTTTTTTTTTTTTTTTATTCATCTGAGCTCGACGCACCCCCAGTGGCAGGGTCACCCAGAGAGCCCTCCCTCCTGGCCCCCGGCCCCACGTGCAGCCGGCCAGGAGAGGACAGGCCGTAGCCTCCCCATCTCTCCGTGGTCCTTGTGTCCACTGAGCTGCTGTTTCTTTTTCTCTCCTCTTTGGGAGCTGAGTTGAAAACCAGGGAATTCTGACTTGAATTCCATCTGTAGACCTGACCACCTCCATGCTTAGTTGCTTGCAATGCTGGGGTGGCCTGGGGTGAGCTGGCATCAGTTGCTAGTAATGCTCCAGGTGGTGCCTGAGGCCTGCTGGTCTCAGAAGCCTCTGCATTGGATGTGCTGCAAACATTGTTGGTTTGGATTTGTTGCTGAGTTTTCACTAATTTTGATTTTTTTTCCCCTCTTCTTTTACCCCCACCCTTCCTCTGCCCCTCCCACTCCCATGTCCTGTTTTCTCTCCTCCGTAGACCACATAGCCCACATCATAGAGCTGCTAGGCAGTATCCCGAGGCACTTTGCTCTGTCTGGAAAATACTCTCGGGAATTCTTCAATCGCAGAGGTAGTACCTCTTCTTTTTGAAAAGCGCCACGATGCAGACAGAAACGGAATAGCAGCTGCTGATTGCAGCATTAATGGTGACAAAGGCATTTCTCCTAAATTTAAAAAGCAACCCAGCAGAATTCCTGTGCTGATTTGAAAGTCGAGAGGAAAGACTGCATTGGCCCAGCGCCGCGGTCCCCTGTGCCGTGCGTCAGCCCCGCTGCAGCGCCCTCTTCCGCGGGCGTCTGCGTCGGCCACGTAGGCAGAGCCGGTGCTTTCGATTGCTCAGGTGGCTCTGTTTCTGTCTGCGCGGGCGGTGGCAGTGTCTGCATGCAGTGTACTGATTAAACTGTCGTGTGTTTCTGTTTTGCTGGCAATGTTTCCCAATGCAGATCACATAGCATTGATCATTGAACTGCTGGGGAAAGTTCCTCGAAAATACGCTATGTTGGGGAAATATTCCAAGGAGTTTTTCACCAGAAAAGGTAACGGTATTTATGCAACACTAATTTCAGCATAATCCTCTCCCAGAAGGAGAAATTATGCTTTTGCATCTGGGTATTGGAGAAAAATCTGGACTTTTACAACCAGGGAATTCTGCTAAAAACAGCTCCCAAGAAACCAGCCTGAGGGAACCATCTGATGTCCGTGGATGGAGAATTCTATAAGAGACGGCCTCTCCACACCTCTTCTCTCCTGTTCTCAGTGCCGGTCTGTGTGTTATTTATGAAAAGGAGTTGAGTGATTTCTAGAAACCAGCCAAACATATCTTTACCTTTTCCATGTCGCTCATGGAGCCAGATCGTGTCTGCACTGGAGCAGAAGCGGCCCAGAGACCGGACTTAGTGAATGTCTGCCGACGTCCTCTTTGACCGAGAGGGTGTAAGCCTGTGGGATCCTGCGTATGCCTCACAGTCTTGCAGATCAAATCCTGCTCTCCCATTGCAGTACCTTACTCTGTATTATAATTGATTTTATTTCAATATTGTAGTTCTTATTGATCTTCCTTTGGCATGGCCCTGAACAACTTTTCTTTGCCCTGTGTAAGTCCCCTTGTTAGTGATCAGTTTTACAAACTACCCTAAAACCTCAGGGTATTTATTTTTAAAGAACCTCTCCCCAGTGCCATATTCTTTTGTGTGAGCATAGTTGGTCCTCTTAATTCATGCTTTTCCAGTGTAAGATTTGGTTTTTTTGGTTAACACACTGTTAAAGAACTTTTAAAGTTGGTGTGAGCAGAACATGGACTTTAAACACCAGCGTCCGGGGAGCGAGCCCTGCGAAGATGGTGGTTTCCTGCCCCACTTGCCCGAGCACACTGACCACGACACCCCGCTCTTTGGGACCACCCAGTGGACAGCCTGTGACATATGTAACTAGGCGCAGTTATTTTCTTACTACTTTTCTAAGGCTTATCACAAGAAGAAAGTTGTTAGAGAAAACTTTTTTAGATAGCTGTATTAACTTCAGTTTTCAGAATCTGCTCTTCAAGTCTGGGTCACAGGAGCAAAATAGAAAGTTCCACACCCCACATGCAGACTCATACACAGGCCCAAGTTATCTTTAGGGGCCTCTCTGAGCAGCCCGAGGTCACCTGTACCTTGGGTGGCAGCTGCCCTGAAGTGTCATGCTTGTTAGGCTTTGCCGCACTCCTCCAGGGACAGCGCTTGCTGAACTCCAGCTCAGAAGCTGCTGTGGGCTGGCCACCCTCTCCTCACCTCATTCGGCAAGGGATATCTTCAGAGGACAGGTTGGTGACTGATGTGTAGTGAATTGATACCAGACAGGTGGTTCGTTTCAGCTCAGAGCTCCCTGTCCTGTGGCCCTTTGTGCTGGAAGGGGGCTGTCAGGTTGGCTTTTCCATCAGCACCCTTGCACCTGGGGCAACTTGTGGTCTGTGCCCTTCCCTGCCTGCACACAGATGAAGTTTCAAGTTCTTATTCACAGCCTACTATTCCACCACACATCATTATCGTACATGTGCTTGAGGACTTGCCTATGTGCTTGTTTAAAGGTGACCTGTGGAGTTGAAATGCATTTAGCATTCTTGGTGTAGACAGACAAAAACATTTGATTCGGTGTTACTGTCATACCTGCAGTCGTTTTTTTCCCTTCCTTTGGATATAAAGAGAATTGATTTGGCAAGAAATCCCCTAAAATGACTGGGATTTGAGACTTAAGTTCTTTCCAAATTACTGTTTATTTATAGTAACAATGGATATCAGAAGGGAGTTGGGGCTTTTACAGAAGTTACAGGAAAAATAATTAAGATGAATGAGGGCCATCATGAAAATAGATTTCAGGCTGAGGGGCATGATGTGTCTCATGACAGAGGTGTCTGGGCATGCCTCCCTGAGTGACGTGTGTTAGAGGGAAGAGGTGTGTCCAGAAGGGATCCAGCCATTTGTATCAGCCTCTGTGGAAATCAGAGACATTTATTGAAGAAGATACAAGATACAGGAAACATTGTATGTAGGACAGTGATGCATCGGTCCCCTCCAAAATTAGCACCTTGGGACCTCACACAGTCCTACTCACCGTCAGCTGCCCTGTCATATTTTCCTGAATTTCATCAATGGTGTGAAATCTCTTCCCTTTCAAAGGTGATTTTAGTTTTGGGGAAAGCCAGAATTCATGGGTTGCCAAATCTGGACTGTAGGGGCCCGTCACCTGGGTGATTTGTTGTTTCGTCAAAAAACTGCATGAGATGTGACGCATGAGTGGGCATGATGCCATGAGGAAGCTGCCAGTCACCAGTTGCCCGTAGCTGCGGCCTTCGGAATCATCTGAATAGTTTTGGTGGAGGAATGTTCAAGCTTAATGCCAAATTTGATGCAGATTTGTTGCTCTACCTGCTCAGTCATTTTGAATGTGACGACCACACAGTACACATGCTCACTCAACAGCATCTACTGCTCCCACTGACTAGCACAGTGATGTCATTATTGTTCACTCATGAGCATTCCAGTCCACTCTCCTTGGCTGCCAAGTTACATTGATGTCACACAACTGTTCTTGTTATATGAACAGTGGCTGGACTTCATCCAGACATACTGTGTACGTTTTGGGAAGAATGGGATAAATGAGTAAATTTACATTTACATTTTTTTCTTAAAATACCTTTGTGCCAGAACTGATAACAAGAAAAGCAAAATTGAAAACCATAAATTTGCACACATCACACTGGAAAGCAGCCAGCATCGTGGTGGAGTAAACAGCAGATTTTCCTGCTCTCTGGGAAGCAGATTTCTCCCCACAGTGAATTGAGGAAGCAAGAGTCGAGTCTGCATGTGAAAACTAAAAATCAGGTGCAGCTGAGTGACATCTTCTCACGTATAACTCGGGCTCTGTCCTGGTAGGTGCTGGGCGTGCAGACGGGCTGCTGCAAGGGGTCAGCTTAGGACTGATCTCAGATTGAGTTCGACTCTTGAAATAAGTAGACCTGTTTCCCCATATTAGTGGGTCTTGAAATTTTTAAACTATTAATGTTTTAACTGCAACTTATTCTTAAACATTGCTTCTGGGTCATAAAAAGTCTGGTTTTTCTTCTCAGTGCTAAGCTCTTCCTAGAAGCAGAGCTTTGTGAGAGCAGGGCTCCATCTGTGTGGGTTCCTGCTGGGTCCCCAGAGCCCAGCTTAGGGAGAAAAGCCCTTGAAGTCAATATTTAGTTATCTAGTTTAAAAACATTAACCTGTATCCAACCATCGTTTTGGACAGAAGCCTGTGTAAGCTAGGAGCCGGCGACAGTATGTGTCACTCTGCCTGCAGTGGCCCCAGGGATACCCCCGACCCTCAACCCCCGCCTGCCTCCTGACATCATTGCCTGGAGCACCTGCTTTCACCTGCACTAGCCCCACCCCCTTTGGGGCTGCATGAGAAGGCCCCACCCCCAGCCAGAGTGGCAGCAGAGGGCGGAGGGTGTGAGCATGATTGCACCCTGGAGGCAGACTGTAGTGGCCTGGAATTCCCAGTAAAGGGATGTGAAAAATAACAAACCACAAGCCACAACTGATCGTAGGGTTGATTTACTGTTTTACTCATTTATTTTTTAATTTGAGCATATAATGTAAAAAATTATTGCTACAAGTTCAAGTAAATTCTATTGTACTTCATCCCATTTATTCCTATCATTTATTATAACCTACTAATTAGTGAAATGCTTCTTTTTATTGTATACATTAACGCATTGGAATTCTTTTAAAGTTATTTTGTTGTATTTGTTGTACCAGCTTTTTATAACAGCTTTATTGAAATATAATCTGCATATCATACAGTTCACCCTTTTGAAGTGGTTTTTCCTATATTCATAGACTTAAGGAGTCATCGCCACTATCTAATTTGAGGATATTTTCATTATGTCAGAAAGAAACCCTGTGCCCATTAGCACTTTCTCAGTGTTCTTCTCACCCATAGGCTGGGCAGCCATGCATCTGCCTTTCTTGATGAATTTGTGTGTTCTGGACGGTCCATGTGAATGGAATTGTGTGGGACGTGGACCCTACGTTGGCCTTTTTCGGTTACTGTGTTTTTACAGCCCCCAGCACGGTGCGCGTCCGTGCGCCATCCCTTCGTGCGTGAACCGGCCGCCTCCGGTGTCTAGCTAATGGGCATTTGGGTTGTTTCCACTTTTTGGCTGTTATTAATAATGTTTCTTTGAACATTCAGGTACAAGTTTTTGTGTGGACATGTGAATGCATATGTGTACCAGCTGAAGTGCAAAAGTTTTCATTTTGACAAAGTCCAATTTTTTCTCCATTTTTGGTGACTGTGCTTTTAATGTCATACCTAAGAACCACTACTACCTACTTCAGGGTCACGGAGATTAATTCTGTTTTCTTCTAAGGCTTTTTTGTTTTTTAGGTTTTACATCTAGGTCTGTGATCCATTTTGAGTTAAATTTTGTGTGGGGGGGAGATAATAATTTAAACAGAGTCTGAACTCAAGTAGTTACCTACATGTACTTTGTAGGAATGTATTTAAGTTTTGTGTTTTGTGTCTTTGTACCAGTAAATTAATTGATAGGTTTCCTTTCTATGTGTGTGCTATTGAAATTTAATAAATTTCATATGATGTTATTTTCTCTAGTTACCAGAATTTGCTGAAACACAGTACCAGGATTTGCCTTCATAGTCCCCCATGTGTGGTGTGAAACCTCATATGCTTGTAGGTTTAATTGTGGAATATTATCATTTCATGGGCAAAATAATATATTTCCCTTTACAAATCTCTTAAAATAATATCTAAGGGATGTATAGTGGAAGTGCTTAACTTTTTCCTCAAAAAGTAACCTAATAATCTAGGATGGCAAATACAATCTTGGTCTCGAGGCCTTTGCTCCTGAGGAGGAGCCCTCCCCCATGGCCAGGGCCTCATTTCGGAGGACTGTCCAGGTGATCCTGCCCCAGAGCTTAGCCCAGGGGCTGCTGAAGGCTGCACCCCATGTGGTGAGCAGCTTTGTTGGTCTCTGGTTCTCACACATTTGCGTGAGAGCTGATGGTGAGGGAGGAAGAAAGCGCAGACTGCCACAGTTAAGTGCCACGAAGTGTGTGGTTACTTGCAGAATTTGTTTTAGCGGAACAGATCTTGGTATATGTTCCTAAGAGAAAAAATTGTCACGGCAAAAATTTTTTGCCTTGTGAGGGGGCCGCTTATCTTCTTACTTTATTTTTATAGTAAGTAGTGGTGGTCGTACAGGTCGCTGTTGCCATTGTGTCTTCCGCGGGACAGGGGCTGGTGAGGGGACTCGAGGCCCTGGCTCATCAGATGAGCCTGGACTTGGCATTTCTGCAAGTGGTAGACGTACACGTTTGGGAGCTTAGGTTTTGTTTTTGAGTAACCTTCAACTAGTTGTAAGACCACATTTCTTATCATTGAATTACATGTAAGAATGTGCACATATAATCATAGGGCCTAGGTGAATTTATTTTGTTTTGTTTTGTTTTTTGGTATTATGTATTTTTTCCAACTGCCCACATAATCCACATATTCTCTTCAGAGGTGATTCCGTATTGCAATGTTATTATGTATTCCATACCTACTGGTGTTTAGGATTATTTTGCATATTGTCCTGTTCTAGACAGCATGTTTACATAGTTTTTTATGTGTGATTTACCTGGTCAAAGTGTGTTAGATATTTTAGTGTATTATTTTTAGGTTGTTTGCAGGGAGTATTTTTGTCAGTTCATAGTGATGCTAGTTAGGTCTGAATGGTTTTTCACAGCCTCTCAGAAGTGAATTGTTTAGATCACTCTTAGGTAGATTTTAAGTCATCTTTGGGGTAAACCACTTCTCTCTTCACTGAGGGTTGTACATGCTTTCATGCCTCGTAATGGGTTTTAGTTAGCAAAAACTGACACCTTCAGGACTACATTTCTCTGTTGTTCTGAGCAGACAGTGCTTCTCAGTAGTTGCATTCATTCCCAAACCTGAAAAGTACTGGCCTTTTTCCAAGACAGAATAGATGAGTATAAATAAAGCTCTCTTTTCTTCCTAGAGAGCTTGTTTTAGCATGTTATGTGTGAGCTTTTTCAGTTTGCTTTACTCTTGCTTGTGTGAGATGAACAGTCACTATAAAATCAGCAGAGCCCTGGCTGGTGTGGCTCAGTGAGGTAAGTGCCAGTCACTGATTTGATTCCCAGTCGGGGCACGTGCCTGGGTTGCGGGCCAGGTGCCCAGTTGGGGGCGTATGAGAGGCAACAGATCCATGTATCTCTCACACATAGATGTTTCTCTCTTTCTCCCTCCCTTTCCCTCTCTCTTAAGGTAAATAAATAAAATCTTTTAAAAAAACAAAATCAATAGAGCTGCATTATAGAAAATGCAGAAAGAGAGAAACAACCTTATAACAAAGCTGGTGTTTGGGGCACCTGCTTTATATCTTTGGTGAGCACTTTGAAGATCACTCTTGTGATCATTTGTAGAACATAGTTTTGACTTCTTTTTTTTTCTTTTTAAGATTTTATTTATTTATCTTTAGAGGGGAAGGGAAGGAGAGAGGGAGAGAAACATCAGTGTATGGTTGCCTATCATGCGTCCCCTGCTGGGAACTGGCCTGCAGGGAACCGGCCTGCAACCCCAGTATGTGCCCTGACTGGGAATCGAACCGCGATTGTCTGGTTCGCAGGCCCACACTCAATCCACTGAGCTACACCAGCCAGGGCTAGTTTTGACTTCTTTTACTACCAAATATTTTACCCCCAAATTTTCTCCCATGTTATTTAGTGGTATTAAATAATATTCACCAAATGTGCGTACCATGGTTACTTGTGTGTTTTTTTAAATCACCATTCTTCTGTTACTGAGCATTTAAAATTTTGAAAGTATGGATAATTTTGCATTGAGCATATTTTAGGGGTGGGGGGTGGGTGCCAGCTTTATTTCCTTAGGCTGGATTCCTAGAAGTGGAATTTCTGGGGGAGAGGAGATAGACATTCAGGGATTGCGCAGATTTTGTTCTCGTGGAAGGTGCGTCCACTGCCCCGTAAACCCAGCCGTGACCACGGTCTGGAAGCTGAGCTTAACTCCATCCCCAGGCCTCACATTGGAGCCAGAAGCTTATTTTATAACTAGCTTCATTAACAAGAAACTTTCTGTAAAGATGTTTTTAATCCAAACTTTGTGCACATTATGATTATAAGTAGACGTGGCAGTTCATTAAGCACATACATTAGAAGAGTTTAGGCCAAAATAAAAAGTCCCGCTGGGGTGGGGTTACAGGTCATTTCTCCTTTTGTGTTTGTAATTTTCTGCAATGTTCTTTTATTTTCTTCATGATCGAAGAAAGAGGAAAAGTGTATTTCCAAATTGAGCTGAGTAAGTGGGTGAAACAAACCGAGCCTCCCGAGAAGACCTGTAAGCAGAGAACTGAATCTTTGTTACTGTCTATCAGGAGAAAATTCACAGTGTGAAAGGGGTGAAAGATTGTAGGTGAAAGGGGAGAGAGAAACTGGCCCCCCATGGCTGTGCCCATTAGGGGCTGGGCACGCTTCAGCTCCATGATGGTTGCAGGACTTGCTCTGGGCCTGAGAGGGTGTGCAGAATGGGGTGCAGCTTTCTGTGGGAGCTGCTTTGGCAGACACTGAGGGGCACCCGATGAAGCCTGTCTTTAGGCAGGGATAGGGTATCCTATAAACACTTCCAACAGAGAAAATGAGTTATTCATAATGAAACGTCTCCTATGGCAGTTGGGCTAAAAAAGTAACTTTTTCTCCTGTTATGAAAAAGACTTTGATAGTTTCAAACCATTTCTTGCCTTGTTAGTCATTCTGTCACATTTATACTGCAGCTCAGCACATTCTGAAGAGAGTAACTTCAAGGTTTACACATTGATAGATGCCCTGATAGCTTCGATTTTAGAACAGTGTGTAGAAATGAGTCGCATTTGACTCAGGTTGGCATATGGATCTGTGCTGTCTGGTATAATAGCCACTAGCTACTTGTGGCTACTTACACTTAAATTAAAATGTTAGTTCTTTAATCACATCAACCACATTTCAAGTACTCAGAAGCCACACAGAGTGAGAAGCTACCCTATTGGACAGAACAGATGAAATTCTTCATCTCTAGCATCACAGGAAGTTCTCTCAAATAGCCTATTCTAGAGGAAAAGATTTCTTTTTCTTTGCATGGTAACATGTGAAATAGTGGTCCAGAGAGCTTAAGAATAGTGTGTATCTTAATGCTTTTTCTAAGCAAATTTGCAAGTTGCAAAGGATACCAAGCTGGATTTGGGAGTGCCTCAGTCTTTGTGAATGAAAACATCTTGGGCTCTGCTTATTTAAAGAAACCTAGAATTTTTGTGAATGAACTAGTCCTTTTAAATCAATGCCTATTTAACTACATTTGACAAGCTTACTTGAAATATGAGACACTTGTGGATACATTTAATGGTTATTCTTGAGTAGAAAAGCTAGCCGCCTTTGTTGCTGCACAGTGTTTAGCAGGTAGGTATCTGCTTCGTTGAAAAGAGTCTCCGTGGACCAATAATGGGAAATGCAGATTTGGAGCTCTCATGACAGTGCCTATTTCTTCCCTGTAGGAGAACTGCGGCACATCACCAAGCTGAAGCCCTGGAGCCTCTTTGATGTACTTGTGGAAAAGTATGGGTGGCCCCACGAAGATGCTGCACAGTTTACAGATTTCCTGATTCCAATGTTAGAAATGGTTCCGGAAAAACGAGCTTCAGCTGGCGAATGCCTTCGGCACCCTTGGTTGAATTCTTAGCAGATTCTACAAATACAGCATTCTGAGCTAGCAAATGTTTCCCAGTACATTGGACCTAAATGGTGACTCTCATTCTTTTAACAGGATTACAAGTGAGCTGGCTTCATCCTCAGACCTTTATTTTGCTTTGAGGTACTGTTGTTTGACATTTTGCTTTTGTGCACTGTGATCCTGGGGAAGGGTAGTCCTTTGTCTTCAGCTTAGTAGTTTACTGATCCACTTTCTTCTGGAAACAATAACACGTCTCTAAGCATTGTTTCTTGTGTTGTGTAACATTCAGATGTCAGGGGGGGTTTTTTTGAACAAAAAAACTTTCCACCTTGTGTTTTGGCAGGTTTTGTAACTATTTATGAAGAAATATTTTAGCCTAATACTATATAATTTACAATCTTAAATGATCAAGTTGGAACCAAGAAATAGCAAGGAAATGTACAATTTTATCTTCTGGCAAAGGGACATCATTCCTGTATTATAGTGTATGTAAATGCACCCTGTAAATGTTAATTTCCATTAAATATAGAATGGGAATTCCAATTTCAGAAAAGCTACCAAGTCTTGAGTGCTTTGTAGCCTAAGTTGCATGTAGCAGACTTAGCTCCAAGGAGTTGCACAAACTTTTCATTCCGTAACAGTCCTCTTCCATGGGATTTTACACAAAGTGGCTCTGGGTTATGTCATTCCTTATATGGCACTTTAAAGAAGAAAAAAAACATACTTCCCATTCTGAAGTACGTATTATAGTTTCGTATTCCTCTTCCTATTTTTGCATATTTTAAAAGTACTTCTAAGGGAAAAGAGCAGTTCCTCTTTAAAAATGCGATGGCCCGGTACCATGTGGCGTTGCCTCCTGCAAACACTGTAAGTTAAATTTTCCATAGATTAAAGTGGACGAGAAATACATTCGGTGTGTGGAATGAAAATATATATATTTTTGGAAAATCTTGCTCATATTTGTCTAGAACCAAGTTACGGTATATACAGTTTGCAGTGCACAATGGGCATAACACACACCTCACAGGTAACAGTGAGCGCATTCATTCGGTAGGCATTTTTGTGTGTAACTATAGCCAATTTTACTAGCTTTTTGTCTTTCCACGCATTGAAGTTGAGAAAATGGTTTCCCTTTGCAGGTTACACACAATTTTGTTTATGCGTTTCCTTAAAATCGTAGAATCCAAGACACAAACCATAGTAGGCAATACAATTTTAGAATGTAATACAAAGAGGTATATTTAGCCTCTTTTAGGAGTCAGTGGATTGACTACCAGTTTTTTTTTTTTTAATTTTACATTTATTAAGGTGCCTCCTTTTTCTTGACTTTGTCCATTAACAATTTATTCATATGCCTTTGCAATAACTAGATTGTGAAAAGATAACAAGTGTTGTAACAACAATCCATTGTTTGAGGTGCTTGCGGTTGTTTTAAAAATTAAAGTGTTTTCGGGTTTTTTTTTCCAGACATTGCCTTGGTCATTGGCTTGTATTTGAATCGATAGAACCAACATTTACTATCCATTCAGTGTAGTGTACCCAAAACTAAAGGAAATACCAGCATCACCAATGTAGGAAATGTAGTTCTATAACATGAGAATTAGGCTTTATATGAGGAAATTATTCACTGTTTTACAAGGGTATAGAATATAGATTTAGAAAAAATGCTGTAGTGTATAGATTTAATGCCTAGAATTTCAATAATTTTCATTTATGTTTTATGAAAAACATTAATTACACTGAGCATTGTAAATTTTCTAACAGTGTTCACTTTGAGGGAACAAGACACGTAGTCCTCTTTGGAGTTAGCGCTGTATCACATACCACCGCAAGGTGGAACATGCACACTCTCCTTTACGAAATGTGCTTTTAAGTTTTTCTAATGAGGCTTTAAGTTACCATGTGGGTTCTATGACAGATGGTGGCTATCTACCATTTCCACTGGAACCATTCTTACAAGAATCACAGAGTACATTTTATGTCTTCTGTAAGTCTTAAGAATTTTTATCAGGGCTATATAGCATACCTGAATGAAATTTACCTAATGCAGTTTTAACTGTTAGAAAATAAACTCAATTATGAATTTTGTAAGGACCTGTCCTTTATGATAAAATAGTGTAGTTTACAACGTAAAAAACAATTGTTCTACAGGGAATATACATTTGTATTAGGTACAGTATGGTTTTTAGCAGATTCTTGGTGGCTTAATGATAACGCATATAAGCTAAGTGAGAACTGCTAGTTATGAAAAACACTATAGCCAGCTCAGTGATTTTAGTTGAATGTTCTCTTTTCCTCTAGTCCGTGTGAAGTGTTCATGGAAATGACAAGCAGTGGATTATGTATGTGATTATAGCAGGTTCAGAAAGCTGTCTGGAAATTTAAAATTGTCCAAAGGCAGAGAAAAGGTGAATATAAGAGCTTTTAAAAAAGCATTAATTTTCAGGTGAAAACTGATTTGCTTACTTGCTTCTTCCTATGTCTGGATCATATGTAATTAACTACTGCTTCCTACAGGGGTAGAGAGCTTTGGTTTGTATCTACAGTTGAAATTCTTAAATTCCACTTCTTTTCTTCCATGAATATTTTTAACTTTAATTTTTGGTAAAGGACAGTACTTTAGGTAAAAGACAGTATTGTGGAATCAAAGACTTTACAGAAGAGATTCTGCATACAGTATGTAGTAGGCAAACTTATGAGGAATTAAGAATCCTTTAAAGAGATGAATATTGGTACTTCACTATGCTTAGTTAACTTAGCTGTACAGTGTTTGAAACTATCAGGATGGGTGATTTAAAGCCATTTCTTCTTGGACAAGTGTTTCTTTTGATAAAGTAGACTTTTGTTTGATAAAGGCAAGGCTGGTAAGGTTGGCCCACATTTTTAAAAAAACTTGAAGCTGATTAGGATTGATCCCTAAATGCAGCTGTATTAATGTACTATCACAGGCTAATTTTCTAAAGGAAATGGAGCTTTAAAGTGTAAACCATGACTCACATTACTGCCAAATCCTAGTCATTTTAGCCTGTTGACTTTTTTCTTCTCCAGTGCACAGTATTTGTATATTGTGCTACATTGTGTCGTGACTGGATGATAAAAAAAGTGTTGCCATATAATGGTGCCATTACTATTAGTTATACTTAATCCTCCTGAGGACAAAATAATTTTTTATTTTACCAAAATTACTAGCATATTTCAGCAGTAAAATATTCACTTGAGAGGCCATTTTCATGTCACTTGAAAGATCTAAGAATAATGCCTTTTCCCTTCAGTTTTGTACACCCAAAACAAATTTTTAAAATGTCCTCTTTTTCAGATGTCATAGCTAGACAGTAAATGTTAAGGTTTTAAACAATTTTGATTAATAGGACATGTTTTAAAATGTACAAATTAGATTTCCTGTGTAAACGTTTAGACAGGTATCCCATATTGTCAAATAGTTGGTGTAAATTAAGGTATGTAACTATATCTTGTGTGATGCTTTAATGGTCTGGGTTCATTTTGCATGAGGGCAGACAGAGCATTTACATGTTTCCGATGGCCCTTGCTCCTGCAGAAATGACAAGCAGGAACATTACAGAACAGTCGTTACTGCCTCCTGATTTTGCTACAGTCCAACTGAGGTAGTAGCTGCTAAAGAAAATGGAAAGCTACTTATATACTGTATTCAAAAAAAGAAAACTTTCATAAAAGCACTTGCTTAAACAGACCCCAATCTCAGAAGTTGTACAAGACAATTTGGTAAAACTGACATAATTGTGATTTATTAACATGAATTAAAATGCCCAACCAGTGCTTCAGTGTGACAGTATATTTAAAATAAAAAAAATTAAAGGCCATATACTGTACTACTTTCACAAAGATCACACAGTTTTGCAAAGACTTGTAATATGTACAATGCTATATATCAAATGAAAAAAGCTGTAAGCAATTATATACGCAAAGGAAATGCAGTATTTACAGTTTGTCAGGAGACATTAAAAATCATCTATACATTAAATTACATTTTGCTTGCAAATAACCGATAAAACAAAAAGAGCCATGTCCACACCAAACTATAAAAATCTGTATTGCATTTTTCATATCTAAGATGCACTCACAGAATTGCTGGAGGAAAAAACGAAAATTCTCATACTGTCATTGCTTAGCTCTGTACTTAATGCATATGTATAAAATAATATAGAAAACATTCACTAAATGAATTTAACTGCAACAGAATTTAATCATGTAGCATCAATTCTGCCAGAAAAACAGCTGGAATGTTCGCTTACAAAATAAAGATACCTAATACTGGTTTAATAGCACATTTTTAAAGGAATTTTAAAAAGCAAAAATGGGAAAGATACAATGAAAGAGCACTGGTGTTTGTTTTTCATTTGTTTTAATACAAAGTTTCATGTACAAGCTTTAAAAAGTACCTTAACAGGTACATATGAAATATACAGTTTATGTTACAGGAACATTTTTAAAAAATGTTTTTGGGAGTCCATTTTAATGCCACCCTGAACCATGGTAATTGTTCTGAAATGTTGGTGGCACCTGTGCTCTGTGAACTGGAATCTGTCCAGGCACTGGAGATGCCTGCTGAGGTCCTTGAACCCCGTGTGGCAGAGCCACAGAGCCAGGATGAGGACAGAACCCTGAAGCAGGTGTTGGAATACTGTTTGGTCCTTGGGGCTGGAGATGAGGACCTGCGACTGGTAATGGACAATGTGGCCCTGTTCCAGAAGGCTGGTGTTGGGCTCCCGGTCCCAAAGTGGTGTGATGTGTAGCCTGTGAGGGATACGGTGGTACAGCTGGATGAGCACTTGAAGG